CTCGCATTGTTTTTCCTCTACGTAAATTTTTAATAAAAAAATCATAATAGCTTGATTTTACATTGAAATTTGAAGATCTCAATCATTCACATCAATTGAGAAACAGAATTTCCAACAGCATAACCTCAATCTCTGGACGCCTATTTGTAAGATTTTTGTAAGATTTGCATTTCAAATACAGTTTTCAATATTAAACCTGGGTACTGCGGACTCATTTCAAGCTGAACATTGCATTAGGTCCTAAGTAACATTGACAGATTCTCTTTGTCGACTTTCTGTTTGTATTCCCACGGCCATGTAAAGACATTGCCAGGTATTTTCAGTACACATATCGGTAAAATAAGCTTTTATCTAGCATCTAATACGACAAACACAACAAGAAACGGTTATGTGCTCAAGTTATTAACGAAACAGAAAGTCGACGAAGAGATTCGATCAATGTTACTTAGGACTTAATGCAATGTTCAGCTTGATTTAATGTGGATGTCACATGGGAGCCAGTGTGAACTGTCCAGCGGGAGCCAAACATGCAGAAGCAATAAATGCAGTTACTGTTCTTATCTATCGTAAAGCATGGTAATCTCATAAAAATGATCCATATTTTTTTAAAACACATTTTTTATTTCAAGCTCAAAGATATAAACAAACAGGCTCAGTGATGAAAGTATTGATTGATTGATTTATCTTTATTAGGGAGGCTTTCAGCCTGGGGCTGGTTCGCCTCCAACATGATGAAAGTATGAAAACCAGCGTAGTTTGATTCACTTGAGTTTTCAATTGCAGTAAAACATATTTTGTCGAATCTTGTATGTAATCAAATTTTGATAGAGTCATGGGGGCTCGAGCACTCCTGGCTCAAAATTTTTGGCGGGAATCAACTGAGAAAGAGCAACACAGTTTTAAACATGAGAAAATTTTCAAGCAGTTTTCCTTTGGCTTGCGAAATAAAGTCGATCGACTCCGCAGTACCTAGTATTTAACTAAACATTGTAACATTTTCATCTTTGAAGCGTAACAAATACTTCTAAAAAATCAGTGGATGCATTTTCTTTGGCTTCCGGCGACAATGGTTGTATTTTAAAATGTATGGAAAATCTTACGAGAATTTCAAAATTCCAGGTTTTTCCAGGAAAAATAAAATTCCCTGAGGATACCCGGTTTTTCAGATATTCCAGGTTTTTCAATGTAGTAGACACCCTGTCTAAAATTAGCCTGTAGTATAAGCCAAATTTAGTCTGGTTTCAATGCAATTGCAGTTGTTTCTTGGATCCTTATGGATCAACTCCGGATATCTCCAGAGACCTTTTGGATTGACTTCAGAAATCTTATATGTATGCCGTATAGCTGTATAGGCCTTATGGGATGACCTTAATTCCTTTCAAGACTAGTTCAGATACACAACAGTCGAAATCTAAAGACCTTATGGGTAAAATTCCAATTATAAAGCCCAGAGGCCTTTGTGGAAACATTGGCAGTATTATGAATCAACTCCAACGATCGGCTCAGCCTAGAGGTCTTGTCATTCAACTTTGGAGGCTTCAAGCTTGACTACAGTGATTTAAAATCATTGCTTCAGCCCCTTGAATCCAGACATGGAAAACCTTACGGGATAATTAGACAAGGCCTATGAGATAACTCTAGAGACTTTGTGAGACAACTTCACAGGTTTTATGAATCAAATTTAGTTAACTCAAGTATCAGCTCAAGATATTTTTTTTTGTCATCTTCAGAGGCGTTTTGGTTAAAGTTCAGAGCTCTTGGGAGCTAATCAAGAGGCACTGGTCACCCTTAGAACCTTACAATTAAATTTTACCGGAATCAGATGGGCCAACTCAGGCGAACGGGCTAAGTCTATAGGTCATATGAATCAACTTCAAGTACCTTATGAGAAATCTATAGATATTTATTGGCTGAACTTCAGAGGCCTTACGGTTCAACTACAGAGACGATACAGGCTATGTCTAGAACTGTTATGAGTCAACTTCAAAGAACTTATGGGTACACTCCACACAACAATCTTGGGTAATTTTTTTTTGTCAGTGTGCCGCATGTGTGCCGATTGTGCCAGTCATAGCGCAAGCTGCGATTATTTGTAAAATATCCATCCCGGTAACCCGGTATTTCTGACACCTTGAATGTTTTGGTTTGAAATCGCAAGGATAAATCGGTTTGAGGATGACGCGGGAAGTGGCGGGTGTGCGAAATTTTGGTGTTTTGTGTTCAAAGGATAATAGAAGTCTTGTGTTTAAGGGCATTCTAATGCCTTAAAGGTAGAACAGAAACCTAGCCTTTCGTTCGCTGAAAAGCAACGGTCTATCAGCGGCCGGAACCTGTGGGGAATATTGTTGGAGACCGACTATAGAGGATGATGAATAGACTTCTGTAGTTTGTTTTGTGTGAGTTGCAGCATTATTTGAATTATCTGCAGTGTGAGTGAGTTGCAGCATTATCTGATTAACTGCCTCTTCCTCATGAGCTCCATCTAGAACCTACATTTCGTATTTAGATCTATAAGTGAACTGCTGGTGTGAGTGGTATATTCAATTAGAGGATGTTCCTGAATATACAGTCAAACAGCACGTAATGTTGTGAACAACTTCAATGACAGTTGCCCAGCCGTGCTCCCATTTTATTTACAACAATCCAATGTCTACGAGATTGGGCCGAAGGTGTGCCGAAGATATGTCGAAGGTATGCTGATGGATGTGCCCAAGCTGTGCCCAATCTAATTTCGGCACAATGAGCTGAGTGACTTACCCCTTGGGTTGAATACAAGAGGTTGAGTTTGAAGATGTAATTTTCAGCTGAAAACAACAGCTCAACAAAGTCCAAAATTAATGAAATTTGATTGAAAGTGCCGTATAGGTTTCGCATTTACCTGCTTGTGTGGGTAGCACATATTTGTAAGATCGGGTTCTCAGCTACCTTTCCACCAAATTTAACAAACCTGGCGTAGTTATGGGGTATTATATCATTCTACATATTCTAGTAACCAACATTTCATTTAAATTCAAGAGATCTACCTCGAGATATTCTTAGATACTGATAAATTAAATGTACTTGCTGGTGATTTTAACAGTAACTGGCGTGATCCTTACTTTTAGAGTAAATTGATGCGTTTTAGTATATGGTTGAAATATACTCCCGGGAAAAGCTTGAGAAAACATGCTGGATAAGCTAACAGAATCTGTCAGGAAATAAACATCCAGGAAAAGTGAAAGTGCTTTCGGAGCTAGTCGGAAGAAGCTTTTAGTGAAAGCATATAGAAGTTTCCAAAGGGCGTCCGAAGAGATTTTCGACTTCTGGGGGAAGTCAGAAGTAGCTTCCAGGATAAATCTATTGATTTTTCCGGAAAAGTTCTGGAAAAAAATCACATAGATGTCGGAAGAAGCAACCGTAACTACCTTCCACGGAAACATGGATGAAACTTCCAGGGGAAATTGGTAGAGCCTTCCTGGGAAAAGTCAGAACACATTTCCGGGCGTAGTCGGAAGGCACTTTCAGTGGAAGACAGAATACACTGTCAGAAGAAGGAGAAGTCTGAAGAAACTTCCGGTGCATATCTGAAGAATCTTTCAAGGTAAATAGAAAGAAATTACTGTAGGTAGTTAAAAGAAGCTTCTGAAGGAAGTCAAAAGAAATTGGGGATTTTTCACTGCATTTTGAGACTACCGAAAAGTGCCATAATTCTGGGCAACTCCTTATTCCCCGCTAATGTTCAATGCAATTCAAATGACCACAATTGGGTTCTTTAAGGCGCTTGAGGTTAATACATATTCGTAATCTTCATTAAAACGGAACCGGAATCCAAAATTTCATCAATTTTGATACACTGGTACTCGGTGACACTTTGTATGGGAGCGAGCTGATAATAAACTAAACTAAAGTTAGTATTTTAAAAACCGGTAAATTTGTCTAAATTAAAGAACTCAATTTATAAATATTTTTGAATTTTTCAAAACTACACAGAATTAGGAATTAGGTGCGCAGAATTATGGCACTTTACGGTATTTCGATAATAGTTTTCATTAAGGGATCTCTGGAAATTTGTATCGAAAAGTGGTCGAAGTAGCTTTGAGTTCCATCCATTTCCTTAGAGTTGGAGAGAGTTAACTGTATAAAAAGTTCAAAAATTAACTCACATGAAAAGACAAGTTTACAGCTCCGCATGCTGTGAATATTGTTTGGTCGATGAAGTATTTGTGGTTGTTAATCTAGTAAAGCTAACTTATTTTTAAAAAAATCTTCTAAAACTCATCTAAAGCTACCCAGCAAGTGTTCATGGAATATAAGCGCCGTCGTAAACATGCTCTGCGTCTAAGTTTAATCCTTATCGTACTGCGCAGGTTACCCGTTAACAAAACCAATTAAACCATACGAAAGGAGAACCATTATACTTTCCAACAAGATAAAAACATCAGAAATCCTTCCAAAATTACCGAAGATATGACAAAAGCACTGAAAAGTCTGATTTTGGTTTGGTGATCGAAGAGTTAATAATGTTTAAACATCACACTAGGGAAATGCTATCTGCTTGCGTAGATACGATGCAAAAACAATCAAAATGATCGTTTCTGGCAACCCTTCGAGCCAGTTAGTTAACACATAAATGCCATCCATCGGGCTTCGGGCAAAGCATAGAGCAGAATAGTAGGCGACGACCACCACCGTTCGTTCGACAGGAAAAAAAAAGTTGAATAAGGAAAAAATATGCGAGAAACTCTAAATGTTGAAAGAAGCAAAGGAAAAAAACCGAGAACGAATTCTCTTGTTGTAGGAGAAAAATCAATTCGCCAAAACATTCTGCGTCAAGCGACACAGACATCCAACCAAAAAAAAAATGACTACCTCTTCCACCGATTAATGACTACTCTCGATTTTGGAACTGTTTTCTCCAAAACTTATGTTTTGTTTCCCTTCTAAAAGGTTGCCCATTTGATTACAGACATTTTGTATTATACAATAATAGGAGGGTGGGAAGAAAATGAAAAATCACAAACCAATTCCAGCGAGATTATCTTTCGAGATCTGCAAACGTTGTTTTGTAATCGATTATTATGTTCCGTTTTCCTTTCCGCTTTTCTGAGAATAATCTCTCGTTTATACTGTTCTGCTTCCAGGCAATAAACACAGGCAAACCGAAAACGAAACACTGTAGCTTTGTAACAGTGGAAATTCCAATTCAATCACAAAATGAACGCATTATAATCACTCCTGATAGCTAGTTCCCTTGGGTTCGCACACCACAGAACTCTCCAAACCGGGAGGATAATGAAACACAAAAAAAAAAGGAACGTAGAACTCCTTCACTCACGATAATTTTCTTCTTCCTCTCTTTTCCTGTGCGCGATTTCCGCACTCTTCCAAAACTTCTTGTGAACTCCGCGCGTGTTGTTAGCTATGCTGCTCTTTCTATGCTTCTGGGACTAACAAAACTGCACAACAAAGTATAACTAGGAGAAAAAAACAGGCTCCTGTGTATAACACACGACGGAGTAGCTCTGATACACACAATACAATATGTAATGAGATGTTGGAAAAAACGGCGACGGCAGACGACGGCGACGACAAACAACGGAAAAAACACATTCGCTCTTCTCGAGTGGACGCGACGTTCTGATCTAGCGAGACGGAAAAGCCAAACCGAAAGGCGAAGCACATCGAAATCGCTCGCAGCGCAGCATAAAACAAGGCAGTAGCATAGATGCTTTTTGCGCTCTGTCTCTTTGTAGCGACGCTGCTACGATGTTAGTGGTGTGCGTGTGTGCGAGGCAGAGAAATTCTATGTTCTCATTGTGTGCAGTTTATTCTTTGGTGGTTTTATTTGGTGTGCGTGAGAGCTTACTGGTATCGAAGAGCGAGATTCGCGACTTTTGCTGTGTTTGTTTACAAAAGGCGCAACGATTCCAGGCGATGTTTTATGCAAGGGGTCAGGCGATGCAATTCCATGAACTTTGTTATTCGTACCTTCCAATTTTCATAATTGGCTTAATTTTTTTCAAAACATGATAAAGTATGACAAATTTTGACAGACAATGTAGGAAAGTGTCATGCGACTGTCATGAATACTTTGAAGACAGTAATAATTTGAATTTAAAAGCTTTTAGCGGTGTTGAAAGTAATCAACAGATAATTAACGATTATTCATGTAATGAAAAATAATATAAATGTATTGAAAATAATTAAAATATTAAATTTTGCCAATAATAAAAGTTATTTGTTGAATTAAGAGTGTATTGAAAGTAATGAATGCAGTAATGGCAACCCTAAAGGCCCAAGCGCAATGACGGCGGAAGCGGAACGGCAACGGCAGCGGAAAAGCCCGATCTGAGTAAGCCTACTTGTCGGATTGAAAACTAGTTAGATCCAAATCGACTTCGGTTAGGCATCTTGATGTCATTTGTGACAACTGTCAAACTTTCCGTTTCCGTTCCGCTTCCGCCCACATTGCGTTTGGGCCTTAATAAACGGGTACTATGCACTTACGATATTATAGATGGTACGTCCATACCACATAAAGTTGGGATGATATCCCGAATTGGTTGTTAGGCACTTCTCATGGTTATTGTTTATGCGGGAAGATTTTAAATATTTGGTCAGCAGGCTACGTTGTATTGAAAGGCTAGTGCGTGTCCCTCGAGCACAACATTTAATTCAACTGCATGTTTTGATTCGCTATGAAAGTTTGACAGATAAAATGAGGGGTTCATGGATTTTCCTATGTTTTGAGGGGTGCATCGATTAGCTTGGGACCGAAGAGAGTACCAGAGCTGAGCCAAAAAGTTGAGCACGTTTCTTCGGGACCTTCTGGTCTTAGAGTTACCTCTATGGTATTAATCAGCTGTTCTATTATCGGCAACTCGTAATCAACCGCATTTTGGAGTGCGTATATTTAATTTAAAGAAAAATCTGGCATAACAGGATATTGCTCAGTCGTAAAAATGTAATCAGATTGAAGCTGAAGGACTCAGGGATCGTGTGAATACATTCAGCGAAGTGTGTTGATCGTGAAATACAGTGAAATTAACGTTTAAAATTTGCTTCCCGAGAACAGTTAATGGGTGCCAAAGCTATCATTTACCCTATTATATTTAATTACTTGATAAATACAATATTCAGGAATATATTATACTATAAATATGTTAATAATATGATGTCTACCTGCATACTAAGATTATTTTACCGAAATCTGTTAAATTTTACCGAAATCTCAACAGCTGAACGTTCGGCAAACAGTTCGGTGATTTTTCACAGATTTAAAGATTAAGATATTCATTGAAAAATTACAGAAAATCTGTAAAAATCACCGAACTGTTTACCGAACGTTCAGCTGTTGAGATTTCGGTAAAATAATCTTAGCACAAACAAAGTGACAGACGACTAACTGGCGAAGAAATCAATTAAAATAATGTGGTTCGCTGTAATAGAATTTTCTAACTAACCCATCATCCACCAGATGGGTTAGTTTTTTGTTTTGATTTGAACAAAGTTGATTTTGTGTACAATGATTCTTTGACAGTGTGCAAAGAGTGTATCATTTTGTCATTTTTTTTAATGCATTTCAGTTTTGAGTAGAGTGAAAAAGATAAAACCAAAACATTCTAATATATTTGGTGAAAATGCTAGTACAATCCAGTAGTAGCATAGAGGTAACTCTAAGACAAGAAGGTCCCGAAATAACGTGCTCAACTTTTTGGCTCAGCTCTGGTACTCTCTTCGGTCCCAAGCTAATCGATTCACGCCTCGAAACTTAGGAAAAACCAATTACCCCTCATTTTATCTGTCAAACTTTCATAGCGAATCAAAACAAACATTGCGTAGTACTAGAATTTCGACTAGAATGAGATACGTTGATCGTGTTTCCATGTGGTACATTGAAAAATTGCAATAGCAGGTTAGTCACCAAAGTTTTCGAGCCGCTCCGCCTGTCACTTCGTTTGTGATCTTAGTGTGTGGTTTCCAAAGACGTCACTGCTGTGGCCTCGGAGTTCTCGGATGATTTTTTCACGGTAGCTGATTGGCGAATTCAAGGGGTTGGTCACTCTGCACACTTATTTTGTGCCACATTGTGCTGACTGTTTTTGTTTGTGAATAATGCATATTCTGGCAACCCGGTATAGACAACAACTCAAATATGTTTTGTTTTATTTGTTCAAATTCATTTGCAGGCTGAGATCTGAAATCTGAAATCCCCATATAGAAATTGAGAGAAGTGGGAATAATTCGCTTGCGGTGCATATTCAGGTCAAAAAGAGTGAACGACAACCTAAATGAATTAGTCAGGGACTTTTTCGTTCAGTTTTTCCAGGAAATTATTGTTAAACAAGCTACACACTAAGATTTTTTTACAGTATACTGTAATTTTTTACCGAATATAGAACAGCTGAACATTCGGTAATCCATTCGGTAAATTTTTATTTACAATCCGTTCTGTAAATTTTTGCAGTTTTTGCGGTAGAGGGGGCCATTGAGTTGCCTAACGTCTATGGCGTCTGAAAGAAATTGGCCTAAAAATTGTACTAATTATATTTTCGGCATAAATTGCACGGAATCTAGCAAAAAGTAAAGTACTTACATTTCACAACGTAGAACCACAAACGAAGTGACAGACGACTAACTGGCGAAGAAATCCATTAAAATAATGTGGTTCACTGTAATAGAATTTTCTTGGAAGTTTGTGCCATCATCCACCAGATGGGTTAGTTTTTTTGTTTTGATTTGAACAAAGTTGATTTTGTGTATAATGCTTCTTTGACAGTGTGCGAAGAGTGCATCATTTTGTCATTTTTTTATGCATTTCAGTTTTGAGTAGAGTGAAAGAGATAGAACCAAAACATTCTAATACATTTGGTGAAATTGCTAGTACAATCCAGTAGTAGTGTTGCCATGTGGTACAATCCAGTAGTAGTGGTGTTGCCATGTGGTACACTGAAAAATTGAAATAGCAGGTTAGTCACCAAAGTTTTCGAGCCGCTCCGTCTGTCACTTCGTTTGTGGTAGAACCGAAAGACACGCAACATCGAAATGGCAGCCAATATTGAGTTTAACAGTACAAAAATATGTTCAATAACTTTTACAGAATTCGGTACTTTATTGCTGTTATAGTACATTCGTCACAAATTTTACAGAATTGCGGAATCACAGCCTTTTACAGTATCAATCCGCAAATTTTATTTACAGTTTTCGGTAAATGTATGTAAATTACGGTAATTCAGCAGTTCTGATTGCCGAAAATTGGTAAAACAATATTTTTTACAAAGCATTCGGTAAAAAATACATTTTACCGAACAAATCCAGCAAAAATAGTACCGAACAAGATTTAAGGAATTTGGTGTGTACAATTAATCAATTAATTAAGCGGCGCCGGTGGTGTAATGGTAAGCGTGATTATCTTTCACCCCAGCAGGCCTGGGTTCAATCCCAGTCAGCGCCGCCGGGATGTTCTGAGGCATAACATCTCTAATCACGCCTTCCTTCGGAAGGGAAGTAAAGCCGTTGGTCCCCGGTTCATGAGTTGATGGGTCGATAGGTAGGGTCCAGATGTGGGAGCTGCCTCTCTGGCGTCGGCAGCATTGGTGCTCAGCACGGAAAACAAGATCGACGGAAAACAAATCAAGGAAAAAAAAAAGCTACAATTAAATAAAAATGCTTTTTTTCCATACAGTTTTGCCTGATTTATTACCAGTCTCCAGAGAGCCGAAAATTCAAATTTGAGAGAGAAAATGCACGACCTCAATAGGCCTTTTAAATAGAAACTTAACGATCGATTCAACCTCTGCTGGTGAATAGGAGAACGTCAAAAAGAGTGTTGTGAGCATAAATTTTTGCCTTGAGACATAGGAAGCGGAACACTTTTTTACTTTTCCTGATAAATTGATTCATCTGATGCTGCAAAACTTAATCTACAGTTGAAAAATTTAATTCTGTAACGTTTTTGAAAATATCTTGCTGGTGTTCAGGAATATTTTTGTTGAGAAAAATGGAAAATTAGATAAGTGCCTTAGTGGTTATGATCTTCCGGATTTCTTGTGTGTTAAGGTGCAAATCAGTTCAGATATGTGGAGAATCGTACAATAAGACAATTAGCGATGGGAATTGGCAAGATTTTGAATAAAAAATGCAGTTATTTGCGTTGGGCAAAATACTTATTCTGATGTAAACAAACGGTTTGGTTGACGTTTCTTCTCGAACTCGCGTGGCGCACTCTACGTTGGTGGTGCATTAAAAAGGCGTATCTCTCAACATGCCATGTATTTGATGACACTCGATTTGTGATTTCCCTTTCACAGATTACAAAGTAGAGTACCTGACACTACAGAACATGTCTGGTACCTCTCTTTCAGCCTCACCCCATTCATAAAAATCGGCGGGAAATTCTGTGAGGGGTGAGCTATTTTGTGTGCAGGCTCAATATATAGAGGTACCATACATGTTTTGCACTGCAGTGTCCTCTGTGAACAATTAACGGAAAACAGATTGTATGTAGTTACCGATACATGTCACCACAAACAACAGCAGGGACATCTGATTTAACATGAATGCAGAAGCTTGACAAAGCTTGACAGATTAATTAATCTAGACAAATTGAAATTTTCACTGTCGTACGATGGAATGGCCGTAGTAGCAACCGGT